TTCAGAAATCATCACCCTTCCCCACATGGGAAAGGAGAAGCAATGGAAGAATGAGGAAATGCTGCTGGTGCAGAGATTGGTGTGGTACAAGCATTTGGGTACGTTCTGGCAAGACCGAGGAGGATACTGGGATTTGTAGTCCAAAAGGAAAAAGGAAAAAAAAGCCTTTTCCAAGCTCTGAAGCTGAGGGGCTAGAAACGAGAGAAATGGAGCAAAATCCAGAGTGCTACAGCTCGTTTGAGTCCCTGATGCTAATATGAATGATTCATTTCTTCAGTGGCTCAGCTCGTACTGTGTTGATCCCGCCACGTCCCGATGGCTCGAGCCAGAGTGCATTGCACAAAGAGGTTAAATTAAAGTCACCTCATGCCTTCTTAATCCTGGCTGCTGAATGCCTGCCTAAAGTGGGAGGGTTTTTTTTTAAAAAAAAGAAAAAGGAAAGCAGAAGAATATAAAAAGCAACCACAGCCCAGCGAATGCCTGCCTAAAGTGGGAGGGTTTTTTAAAAAAAAAGAAAAAGGAAAGCAGAAGAAAATAAAAAGCAACCACAGCCCGGCTCTGCCAGAAAGTATTTTTTTTTTTTGGGTGGACAGACTTTAACAGTTCTCTAGAGGTGGAAAATTTCCATGACTGGTGGGGTGGCCACCCTGAGCGCCGGGCCCTCTCCACGCCCTGTTTTGGGTTGCGAGGGGGAGTCGGAGTCGTGGCAGGGTGCCAGGGCGAGAAGAGCACGCCGGGAAACGAGGAGGGAGCCTCCTCTTGGCACCTGCGCCCTGCCACTTCAATCAGCAGCTGGACCGGTGCCACGCTGGCCAGCTGCCAGCCCCATACCTGGAGGGCGGCAGGCATCCCCCGTTTCTCTTTCCCCGCTCTGCCACTCGCCCTCGCCTTCCTGACCGCCCGGTCACCCTGACCTCAGCAGGGAGGAGAAGGGTTCTTGGGCTTTGCAGGAGCGAGAGCCTGACCTGCTCAACGAGGCCGGGAGCCACGCCGGGCGGTTCAGGCGCTGTAATTAAATGGGAGGAAAGGCTGAATTAGAGGGCTGCAGGAGGCATCTGGTCTGCTCCTTTGCGGTCAAGGGTGGGTCTCCTGCAGACGTAAGGCTCGGTTCAGCATCTGCTGGCGTGGGGGCATCGGTCCTAGATCACAAGACAATCCTACATAATAATAATGATCATCATCATTGGCCATCAAATCAGTTCTGACTTATGGTGACCCTTTTTCATGGGTTTCCACGCAGAGAAGACTCAGAAGTGCTTTACCCTTCCCTTCCACTGGGGGCGCCCTGGGACTGTCCAGCTGGCCCAAGGCCACCCAGGCTGGCTTTTCTCCCAGGAAACCGAGGGGTGAATCGAACTCACAACTGATATCTAATTCACTGAGCTCTCCAGCCAGCTTCAAGACTATATGGTAGGTTTTAAATTAACACAAACCACTCGGTGTATTTCCCCTAGTACAGTTGCTGTGAACAGACAGCTGGGGCGGACAGATGTGGCCTTTCATATTGTGTTGGGCTACAACTCCCAGCATTCTTTACCACTGGTTCTGCCAGTCAAGATCTACAGGGAGCTGAAATCTAATCAGGTCTGGAGGGCCAGATGTGGCTCACGTTGACTACGTGTGTATGTGTGTTTGTGTGTGTGTGTGTGTGTGTGTGTGTGTATGCATATGCATGCATGCATGCATGTGCATATGCACCATTTGAATGCTCTGTCCTTTTTTTAAAAAAAAAGCAAACCTAATTCCACATTAAAATCTTTTTTCTGCACAATCACCAGAATCCGGCCTGGCAATGGATCCGGCCAACAGCTTGAGGATGTTCCTTTTTTTCCTCGACAAGAATTCCCAGCTTTAGTGGGTGGGGGATCATGGGAACTGTAGTCCAAAAGAGGTAGTGCTTCTGAGGTCTTTTCTAGCTGCAAGCAGGCAGACTTGAGCCAAATCTGAAACTTGTCCTTTTAGACAGACAGCCAGAAACAGCACCCGTTTTGCAGAATGCTGGAATCCAGTCCTTGCAGATCCACAACGCCAGTCCCCCCAAAATGCTCTGCATTCTTTTACTCCACCTTGTGGCCTCAGCCTGCTTTTCTGCTTCGCCAAACAAAAAAACCAAGCTGATTCTCTTTCAGTTAAAGATGTGTTTGGGGGGTGGGGGGTGGGAAAGCAACCCAAGAAAAGCCATACATAATCCGTGGTTCAAAATAAATCTCGCTAGCTGCAGCAGCATCGTGCCCAATGGCAGGTGTTGAACCATATGGGCTCTCCATGTGTTCCTGCGTGTGCCTGTAGGTCTATAGGGGTGCTTTTGCCTCCCACTCCCATCCTGTGGGAGACCCAGGGAAGGAGAGGCAGGCTGGAAACAACAACAACAACAACAAAAAAACCCACAAGTTGAGCTCTCTAGCTAGTTATTATATATATATAACTAGCTATATATATCATTTTTTCCTACCTGGGTGGGATCTACTGTACTGGCAAAAATTCCAGGTGCTCTACAGTAAAATGCCCCCAGCTTTTCTGACTCCCAATATTTTAACAAGGCCCAAGTGAAACCACAGCCGGTTGCTCATCTCTCCGCCTAAGGGTCCCCCTCACCTGGGAAAAAAAGGAAGGGCCGCTGGTTGCATCTCAACCCGTTGCTATGCCGCCCTGCTGGCTGGTTTTATCATGATGGTTTTATAACAATTGGAACAATGAAGGCCAGTTCCTCAGGACAAATGGGGCACTATCCCACCCGAATCATCCTACACCCCGTCGGTCCACTCCTGCCTGCCTTCTTAGTAGTGGTGGAAAGCCAGGGAGAGGCTGGTGGGATCAAGAGAGGAGGGGTGTGTAGACAGACACACAGACAGACAGGCAGGCAGGCACAGGCAGGCAGGCAGGCAGGCAGGCAGGCAGGCAGAGAGATAGATAGATAGATAGATAGATAGATAGATAGATAGATAGATAGATAGATAGATAGATAGATAGATAGATAGATAGATAGATAGATAGATAGATAGATTGATTGATTGATTGATTGATTGATTGATTGATTGATTGATTGATTCTAGTTTATGGTTCATGGGGGTTGCCACAGGAAGTGTGTTCAATTCCATAAAGCAGCAATTCACGTCTGATTCTAGTTGGTAGCCCATGTAGCCATCGGCAGCTTTGGTGGGTTTTTTGGACTACACATCCCAGCGATGCTCCCTAGGGGATACTGGAACGGCAATAAACTGCATACTACTAGAAGCAACATACTTGACACGTGCCCAATCCAAATGTCACAATTCCTGTCCTGGCAAACAGAGACAAGGTGTGTGTGTGGGAGATGCCAATTGGAGATCAAAGGTCTGGACCCGACTGAAAGACCCCCACCTCAAGACTGGGGACTTGAGGTGGGGGTCCCTAGGGGAAGCAGAGCCTTCTCCGTGGGTCTTGTGGCTTAAGTGCGCCCGGACGAGCCATGGCCTAATCATGGGGTGAATGGCCACTGTTGCGGGATGCCCTAGCGGTGAAAGCAAAGAATTCTGCACATGCTCAGGAACACATATTTTGGCTACAGAAAACACACGCAAGGGCTAGCCTGGAAGTTTCTTTTTCTTTTTTTAAGGGGTAAGAGTTGCATCCTGGCTGAAATTGATCTCTGTCCTTATAGAAATGGCAGGGATTTGCCCAGAGTAGACCCTTGGTCTAGAGATGGGAGGGACAGAAATCTAATGAAGAATCAATTAATCAATCAATATTGTTTAATGGCCTTGACTTGTTTCAAAATAACAAAGCAAAATAAAAAGAGATAAGCAACCTGTAGGCGCAGTCTAAACCCACTGGTGTGGCTCCACAGAGGACCACTCGAAGAAACAGCCTTACAGGTAAGGAGCCTCTCTCTCTCTCTTTTTAAAAGAAACCAAAACAAAAGACAAGAAAGAGGGCTCGGGGAAAAAAAAATAATAATAATACAGTACGCGTTCCTTCGCGCCCTCTCGTGGAGATTCGCTGTAACTGCAAGAGCCCCGCCTCTCGGCGCCTCCTCCTCACCTCATTCGTCGCCTCTCCCCGCCCAGGTCGCCTTTGATTGGGCGCCGCCGATGTCTGTCGACGGGAAGAGGTAAGATGGCTCCTGGCTGCAAAGAAATGGGGTTTTGGTGGTTCCCCTTTGCAGAGTTGGGGGGGGGCATTTAGCTCGTCAGTGGGTTGCTGGGGGTTTTTTTTAGAAGATTTTAGGAGCCCCCTTTGCAGGGTTGTTGTTAGCAAGACCTCCAGGCTCGGGACAGCGGTGGTTTTGGGCCTGGGGGCGCCTCTGGAAACTGGGAGGGGTTTTTTTTGCAAGGAATAAAAGGCTTCCCCCCCCTTTCCATTTATGTCTTTAGGAGAGGCAAAGAGTGGAAAAGTTCCTTTTCTCAGCGTCAAAAAAGGAGCTGCAGTCGCACAGGTGGCAGTAAGTTTAATCCTGCAAGCAAGGCTTTATTGCTCTGTTTGGACTACAACTCCCACAATCCCCTGTCCCCTGCTGTCTGGGGATGCTGGGGGTTGCAGTGCACAGTAAGATCATCGAGGCTTTTTGCATCGTCTCTTTTTCTTTTTTCCATGCCTGGAAGTGCTTCCTAAGTTGGGCTCTCTCCCCTTGCCACCCCGAGGAGCCCTGGAGAGGGGTGAGTGTGGAAGGGCAGGGACCCCCCCCTCGTTGTGGCAAGGGTCTCTCAAAGCCTTCCCAAAGAGAGCGACACGCACACACACACACACATACCGACCGAAGCCGCTGCACGGATGCAAGCGGGGGGGGGGGGCGAACCGGCTCTAGCCGTTTCCGTCTCCCTCCAGAGCAGGGCTTTTGTAGGGCCAACGGACCTTAACGGTTTGCTCAGAATCAGCCCAACCCAAAATACATCCGCGACAGCAGGAGACGCTCATCATATGTTGCTGCTGGGAAATTCATTTTCCTAACTCATTTCAGTTACTGTCGGGTCACAGCTAAGCTCTGAAAGGACAAGAACACCTGGATGGTGGGGGCAGGCAGATGAGGTCAGGAGCCTTTCTAATCCAAAGGTTTGCAGGAAATTACCAGTTCCTTGTCATGTTTCATTGGCAACGCTTGGGATTTGAACTGGGGCCTTCTCTTCCTGGCCCCTTTGTTAGCTGGCACCTCCCCTCTGACCGGGAGCGTCTCTCCCTCCATCCCAGCAGCCTGTAAGGAAGGTTCATCCTGGAACATTCTGTATGCCAAGCATGTGCCGATCCCCTGAGCTTGAGTCCTCGTTGCAGGAAAGCGTACCTTCCCCTCGCTGTGCTGTGTTCATTTCCTTTGCAGCTGACCGTCTTCCAAGGGCTTAAGCACCAAACCCCAGGGTGTGTGTGTGTGTTGTGAAAGCTGATGCAAGCCTTGATTGCCCCCCCCGCCCAAAAAAAGCATTATACATTTGGAATATACTTTGGCTGCTGCAGAGCGTGGAAACATATTTATTTATTTAACAGACAAACTTGCATACTCACTGATAAATGCCGGATGCTATTCTGGGTGGTTTACATCAAAGGAGCCAATCAATTTGAGAATATAAGAAAGCAGAACACATAGAATATTCAGATTAAAAACAGATAATCAATTTCATCCAGGGAAAACAGTACCAATGTACATTTTGCTCTTCCACTAGTGAGAGAAATTGGCTTTTGGTCATGGAAGGTAGAATGATTTGGTCGTGAAATGAGAAATAAAAAGTACAGATGGTTACAGCTGATCATTCAGGATAAAAAGGAATGGAGGGAGGGAGGAAGAAGAGTAAAGAACGGAATGGCTTAAGGGCCTGGGGGACTGCCTTAGATGCAACCCAGCCTGGCATGGAAGGGAAAAATCAGTCCTTTTGGGAAAAAAGCTCAGAATATTTTCCTTTTATCTTTTTTTGAAAAAACAGAGGGCCGTTTGGGATCCACCCCAGCCACGGCAGCCCACCAGTTCCTAAGGGAGCGGTTCCCAAGCTCGGATTCCCAAACGTCGGCAGATGGCCTCTTCTCCGGGACACCATGAGGATGGCTCTTGCTGTTCCCACCACTCCGTGGCGGTGCCGAGTGTTCACCAGACTCTGGACGAGATGGATTTCGAGAGAGGTGCAGGATGCCTGATGACTTTGCCGTGGTCTGCAGGGACGTGAGCCTGTGGATCAGGAAGCAAACATGATCAAACCTCTCTCTCTTCTCTCCCTGACCCTTCTTTGTCCTCCTGCGGTGGTAAAAATAACCCTGCCGTCTCTCTCGGTCCTCACCCTCCGATCTTGTTGCAAAGGGTTGTTTGTTTTGGGGTTTAAATTTAGGCATCGCCTTTCTTTCGGCGAGCTCAGGGTGGGAGGTCTGTGGCTCTCTGGTCCACTTCACAGCAGGCCAGCAGGGCAGGTTACACCACGTACGATTTAAAGACCCTCCAACGCCTATTTTCCCCATTGACCTGGGGAGCCACATAGACTTCCAGACGAAACCAGAAGGGGCGACAGGCCTCCTTAAGGTTTGGAAACACAGCTGTGGCACTGGAAATTGGCCTTCCCATGGTGTCCGCTTCTGCTTTAAGGTTTCAGCCTCCGTTCTCTGTCCCCCAAGTTCGCTCAGCTTCCAGTCTAATGAAGCATTTGGGAATCCTCCCATTTTTAACCGACCCACCTCTTGCGTTATGTGGAAGGGAAATTAATTCCTGGAAGCACAGGGCTAGAGAACCTGGCTGCTGCTGACCAGCTGTCAGACTGAGGGGTTTGGGGACCTGCTCCTGGTAAAACACGACACGGCACTTCCCCACCTAAGAGGTTTCCGCGGGCCCGAGACACCCTCTCCCTCACCAGAACTTTTCTCTGCTTACAAAATAAGTTTTTTTCTCCGTTCTGTCTCAAGGCCAAGATGGTTGAGGTTGCTTCGCCTCTTGATTAATGGCTTAATTTACTGTTTCAATTTGCATATGGTTGCAAATCATTTGCAGTGGGTGAGTGTATGCCGTGCAAGAAACATAGCCTGAAAAGAGGCATCCTTTGTGCATGAAACAAGGGTCTGGGGGTACGCAACACTCTCACCTACATGGAAGGCCACCTTCTGCCACTGGTGACACAGACAATTTGACTCAAGATGAGCTTGTTGGGTTTTTTCTCTCCGCTGGAACGTAATGCCCCTTAGTTGAAGGCATCTTTTAAGATGATTAATGAGTTTAAGCATTGCAATTCCATTTGAAAGAGTTATTTCTCGCCTTCCCCTCCCCCCCCCCCCCCCCCCGCTCCTCGGAATGAGCGTGATCAGAAGTTGGATTAAAACAGGGTGGATAAAAATCAATAATTTTTAAAATATCAGAGGGATTCAAATCTTGATTTAAACGTTTAAATTTTATTTTTAAAAATTTGTTTTTTAGAATACTGCATTGCACTCTTGGAGCGGCGTATAAATTAAATCAATAAATAATTTAAATAATCAAAAAACGGCCCAATTTTTAAAAATTTAATTCGTGATTTAGATCAAATCACGGTGTTCTTTTCTTTAGGGATTTGGTGTGCGGCTCTGAATGGAGACCTCGAAAGAGTAAAAAGTCAGATCTTGCGCCACGGCAAACCCAGTGAACCAGACGCCTTTGGGTACACGGCTTTGGTACGTATCCTTAAGGGGCCGGTCCAGGCTCTTTGAGAGTCTTGCCTTTGCAATAAACCGAGGCTGAATGTGTGGATGACCCGTTAGCTGAGCCGTCCAGTCTGAAGGGCCACGTTTTCTGTCCCCGCAGCACTACGCCAGCCGCAACGGGCACTACCACGTCTGCCGCTTCCTCTTGGAGAGCGGCGCCCTCTGCAACGCCCAGACTCACGGTGGGGCCACCCCACTGCACCGAGCGGCTTATTGCGGCCACGTCGATGTCGCTGAGCTGCTGTTGGAACACGGGGCTGATCCGACCATCGCGGACGACGAGGGAAGGACCTGCTTGCACAAGGTATGGCAGGTGGAAGGGGCTCCTCCAGGTTGCTCTGCATCAATGAGCGGAGGTGTGCAGATCAGCGCTTCACCAGGGCGTCATGGGGGCTTTGTCATGGGATTAGCAGCCTGAGCACTGCATTTAGCGGCGGAGCAGACCTCCTCCCTCCATGTTGGCTTGTGTCCTTCGATCGCAGGAGGACACCGTCGGAGAGTGGCAGGTCATTTCCAGCCTCATCAGACTCTCAGGGTCTGCACCAACCCCTTTCACAAAAATGACCGTGTCTAGAAGGTCATTTTCTGGTGGGGAAAAAAGCACACAAAACACTGTTTTCAAATAGAACACTGCACAATTTGCAATCATAGATATATATATATATGAAAATTAAAATGTTAGGAAGGTTAGACTATTTTTGACTAGAAACAATATACTACAATAGCGTTATCTTGGCCCATTTGCTAAATCTTGTACGCATGACTGGGCATAAAGTCGTGTAAGTGCTGCATGGATTGAATTTCTCCACAATCACAGAAAAGTTGTCCTGTCTCCAACTTGCACCATTTTACCCGATTTGTGTTTGATCCTCTTCTTTCGCTTCAAAGAACAGTCAAGCCCCTTCTGTGTATTCTCTGCTTCGAAAACCCTGGAAAGGGTTGTCATCAGTCAAAATGGACTTAATGGGACATGATGATGGTAATGATGATTTAGTAAAAAAAAAAGGGGGGGACACAGTTCTCAAGCTTTGGTGCGTGTCTGTGGAGAAGCGAAGGCTCCTTTGAACTGATTCTACATGAGGTGCGCCTGAGGCTTAAATCCTGCCGCCCGTCGTCCATTTATCATGCCTTTTTCTGTCCCTTTTTGCCGGCTTCCCCTCCCGTTTGCACCTCCCTCCCTCGGATCCTCCTTGATGGGAAGGAGCCCAAGGCCTGACCCTTCGCTCTTGCACTGAGGACACTTTTCCGTCTCTTCCTCCAGGCGGCAGAGAAGGGACACCGGGAGCTTTGCAGCCTCTTGCTGGCGCAGGATGCGGACCTGCAACACCTCCGGGACCAGAATCTGAAACGGGCCTGTGACCTGGTCCCCGACACGGACCAAGACCTGCGGGAGCAGCTGGCAGGCCCGTGACTTGGCGGGCGGTGGCTGCAGAGGACCTGGGGAGGGGTTGGGGGCCCCCCTTTTCCGGCAGATGGCTCCCTCGCTGGCATGCTCTGGTTTTCTAGCTGGGGTGGGCGGGCAACACCTGCCCATGGTGTTCCCTGTCCACCTTGATCCATTTAGAGCAAAGGATGTCCCATCTGTGCGGCTCTTCAGATGTGGTTGGACTGCAGGGCCCATGAGCCCCAGCCAGGCTAGCTGTTGGAGAGGGGCGAGGGGATTTGTAGTCAAGCAAACCTCCAGAGGTTAAAAACGACTTGGTAAAAAGCTACATGATGCGGTGCTCTTTCTCTCCCTGTCTCCTTCCCTCTCCCTGACCCTCTGTGACATTTCTGGCCTGGCTTGCTCTTCGGTGCAATAGCAGGACAAGCTACTTTGTGTGTGGAAGGATGGGCTTTGCTAAAATGGGTTCCTCTCTCTTCCCTTTAAAGCAGCTAAAGGAATAGGTTCGGATTGGGAAAGAGTGTAATCTTTGTCTCTGGGTTTAACATTCCGTGACATGGTATAACACGGGTTCCTAACCTTGGGCCGGTCTCCAGATGTTCTTGAACTAAAACTCCCAGAAGCCTTCACCGGTAGCTGTGCTGGCCAGGATTTCGGGAGTTGTAGTCCAAGAACATCTGGGCTGCCCAAGGTTGGGAACCACTGGTTTAATATCATAATATGGAGAAGTAGAACATTTGGAAGTGCTCTTCCCCCCCCCCTTTCCATCTGCCACCAGCTGCAGCTTGTTCCTTTGCTCTCCTCCCTCGTCCTCTCTAGATGGGCGGCATATAAATGCAATAAATAAATAAATAAATAAATCTCTTGTTGACTCTGCAGGCGTCTAGTCCTCATTGCTACTCAGACTGCAGCCGTGGCCGCGGCTTGTCCTGGGGCTTTGGGGTTTAATTCAGGGTGGAGAGCATCAGGAACAAGCTGCCAGAGTTTGCAAGTGTTGCGTTTTGGACTACAGTTCCCAGAATCCCCCAACCTATCCAAAGGCAGGGTGCGGGGAGCGGGATTCTGGGAGTTGTATTCCAGAAATAGCAACACTCCAGGCTGTAACCCAATCTCACAGGCATGTTTGGATCCTCCAGCGCGTTGAGTCCTGCGATGAGTAAACAGAACCTGGTTTTGTCGTTAGGAACATGTGGGTCACCGCTCTGCCCAAATGTTTTTCCCAGATGGGCACAGGGCCTATTTATATCCAGCCTTCAGGCTTTAAATGGCGAAGTATGTCTTGGTGGGAAGCGGTTCTCGGTGGGCTCCTGGAAGCATTACCCGAGCGTCAGAATGGGCACAGCTTGGAAGCTGCTTTTAAGACCGAGGCGTAAGTCATGACCCGCTGAAGCCACCCGTAAAGGTATGATGTTGGGACGATGCTCCTGGACCGATCCTTGGACCAGGAGGATGGAATGCATGCCTTACGGAAACCGGAGGAGGGCATGAGTGGCTAGCGATGGCATCTCTCACATTAGAGAGTGCCAGCAGGTGAGCGGGCACTTTGCTGATGCGGTGGTGTCCTGTAATTGCATCCCTCGTATTGAGCAGAGAGATCTCTGGGTATCCTGTGGTGCTCAGAGTCCACAAAGCAGCATGCGCTAGCCCTCCATCCCCCGGCTAACCCTTTTATGCCAACCTTGAAAGGACCGAGCGCTGCTGGCTTCTGACCTTGCCCGCCCCACCTTACTGATCCTGGAGTCTCCATCCAGAAAACGTCAGAGACCCAGAGTCTCTCTCTTGTCAGCTTGAGCCCTTTGATGCTGAGGCTGGGAGGGAGGTGAGATGGAATAGCATCTCCCTGGGATTAAATATCATCCTATCTTGGTGCTATTTTCATCCTGCTTGTCTTGTACCTGAAATTTGAACTCTTAGCAGGCTAATGACACAGAATTCTGGCTTTTAAATCCCTGTAACCCATTCCTTTCCTCTGACCGATCCCTTTTTTTGGGGGGGAGGGTCTTTAGGAAGAAGCCAGTGGGGGGCTGGGTCAGGGAGGTGGGGCAAAGCGGCTCAGATTTTAGCCTGTCGGTCTTCTCCATTTATCAACCAGAGAGATCAGAAAAGGTAGTTTTTATTTTATATTTTTCCTTTTTGGTATTGCCTCTCCCGGAATATTTCAGCCCGCACCGACAAAAGCTTCATGGGAGTTGTAGTAGTCCTAAAAAAGCAACTTTCCCAAACTCTTATTAGCCTAAGCAGAACATTATGATGTCCATGAAAGCCAAAGGGTCAGAAGAGTCGACTGGTCTCTATCCTTTTCTTTCTCTGGACTTCTTTCTAAATCTTGACTGTGCCAAATGATAAGGAGAAAATGCCTAAGGCTGCATAAAAGTTACTGTGGATTTATAATAATATGTGCATTGTGCTTTAGTGTGTATAGAGCACTTCTTGTTATGTTGTTTCACTGCTCCTTGTGATCCTTTAAGGGAGGCCAGTCATATTGGTCTTGGGTTGTACGTAACCTCTCCATGGTGGCCATGGGGTTGGGTAGAGCAGTGGTTCCCAACCTGGGGTCCCCAGATATTCTTGGACTACGACTCCCAGAAATCCTGACCAGGCCAGCTGGTGGCGAAAACTTATGGGAATTGTAATCCAATAACATTTGGGGACCCAAGGTTGGGAACGAGCGGGCTAGAGGCTAGGAGAGGCTGGTAGAAGACCAGCCGGTGAGTTCATGGAAGAAAAGTGGGTTTTGAGCTCCCTGGTTCATAAACCAGCTTCTTGATCCAGTGGTTCTCTGTTGGGTCCTCCAGATGTTTTGACAAGATTCTTGAAATCCCTGACCTCTGGCCATGCTGAGAGTGGAAATGCGAAAGATCTGGGGGATCAAAGCAGAGAGTCCCTGTCTTGATTCAAAAGTCCTTCATAAGCGCTGGACAACTTACGGCCTTCTAACTGTTATGCCTTTGCATCTCTCCTCCCTAACCAGCACAGCTGTTGGTGAGGAGCAATGGTTGTTGCAGCCCCAAAACACCTCAAGCGGGCATGAACTGCCCACATACTTACCTTAATACGGTAACAATAATCATGGGCCGTCATCAATTCTGACTTAAGGCAACCCTTTTTAGGGTTTTCAATGGAGACAATATTTAGAAGTGCTATACCGTTTCCTTCCTCTAGGGGGAGACCTGGGACTGTGCAGCTTGCCCAAGGCTACCCGGGCTGTCCCTTCTCCCAGGAGACACAAGAGGGGAATTGAACTCTCAACCTTACGGCCTTCTAACTGTTATGCCTTTGCATCTCCCATCCCTAACCAGCACAGCCGTTGGTTAGGAGCAATGGTTGTTGCAGCCCCAAAACACCTCAAGGGGGCATGAACTGCCCACATACTTACCTTAATACCGTGTTTTCCCCCAAAATAAGACAGGGTCTTATATTAACTTTTTGCTCCAAAAAGCACATTAGGGCTTATTTACAGGGGATGTTTTATTTTTTTCATGTACAACCATCAACATTGATTCAAATACAGTCATGTAGTGTGGGCGGCATATAAGTTAAATAAATAAATAAATGTCATCTTCTGTTTGCCGGACAATGGTGGAGGGCAGGGTTTCACTTAAGTGGGGCTTATTTATTGGGGTAGGGCTTATATTACGAGCATCCTGAAAAATCCTACTAGGGCTTATTTTCAGGTTAGGTCTTATTTTCGGGGAAACAGGGTAACAATAATCATGGGCCGTCATCGATTCTGACCTAAGGCAACCCTTTTTAGGGTTTTCAAGGGAGAGCATACTTAAAGTGCTATACATTTCCCTTCCACTGGGGGCACTCTGGGACTGTGCAGCTGGCCCAAGGCTACCCGGGCTGTCCCTTCTCCCAGGAGGCACAAGTGGCGAATTGAACTCCCAACCTTTGGCTCCGTAGCCAGGTCCCTAAACTACTGAGCTACCCAGTCTCTACATTATTTTAGGAATGTGCTTCTTGTGTGAAGCCAATAGTATTAGTCGAGATTTCCAGATGAGGCTAGGAGCACCATGCATTTCCTAAGATCACAGAGCAGGTGGGTAGGCCAGACTGAAGTTTCATCTGTCATGTTTCCTTCCGTTGGTCATCTCAAATATGGCCTCAAAGTTGATACTTTTTTCCCAAAAGGTTGCTGGCTAACGAGAATGGTGATCTTTGTGAGATGCTTGGCCTGCTAGCTCATTTTCCGTCATTCAGGATCCCTCACCTCTCCATCATCAAAATAGCCCCAACAGTAATCAATTCAGGGCGCCAGTAGTTGCTAATTAAAATGCCTGGCTAGTGTTAATGCCTCGGCAGCACAACCGTACCAAGACCGAAGTGCCTGTAGGATTCTGATGTCATCTGGTTCCTGGGTTCTCTCCTCACTTGCAAATTGGGCTAGAACTTAAGCCGATACCCTGTTTTATCCCAAATCTGTTCCCAGCCCTCCAGCTCATGTCATGAGACCCTCCATTCCCTGCGTTTGGGGAATCTTGTTGCTGTCCCTCCTTCTTCCATCACTGTCACATTCCGGAAATGTGTGAAGTTATCAAGTTATTTTAGCCGGTGTTACATGGCACCTGAATTATCCAGTTTGCTGGACCCAGGGAATGGTGGAGAGGGCGTTGTTCTGGACTACAGCCCAAACCCACCCTCCTCAGGGCGGCAATAAAACCGGCTGCCCACGCCAGGTGCTGGGGAGTGAGCGTTGCGGTTCTGGAAGACGGGGGGACCATGGATCTCTTCAGCATCCAGCAGTTGGTAAGAGGATGGATGGCATTTGGGGTGGGCAGGTGGGTGGGTGAAGAGAGGGGAACCCCCCACCTGCATTTGGATGACCAGGTCTCTGATGAGACAGGCTTTTCCAGAACCCCGTTGGGACTGCGTACTGAATGGGGAGGGGGTTTCTCATATTTAAGGCTGGTCTAGAACGTGGAACCAAGCCACAGTCTGAAGACAAGCTCTCCAGGGGTGGATTTAAATTTCCACCGGAAAAAGAAAAGAAAAGGAAGAGGGAGGGAGAAAGGAAGGAAAAGAAGGAAGGAAGGAAGACAATTTTAGTCTACTTGTCATAATACTTATCAACTTATAACAAGTCATCACGTTATAACAAAGGCGTCTCCCACGTTTTCTGCTACGTCAACCAGCGTATTATGAAGAACTGTTTCCGACAGCGGTTGCCTCTTGTATTGATTTGAAGTATTTAGATTTTGTCTTGGGTTTTCTGTATGATGTCCAGTTAAGCGGGTTTGGATCCAAGCAGCTGAGGTCAGTTCATCTTTCCAGTGGCCAAGGGGTGCTGGCCCACTGCCTCCCCCCCTCGGCAGCAAAAAGCAACGGCCTTGTGGCCCCTCAAAGATGACCCTGTTTTATTTGGCCGAAGCTTCTGCAGCTTCCCTTCCCCTGCCCGCAAGGCGGATGGATGGATGGAGCTTTCATAGAGTCTCAGTTTGTTCCAGTCCATTTCTGACGAGGGTTTTTAAAAGCCAAAATGCCTAGATCTGTGCAGCAGAACAGTCGTCCTGCGTGGCCTTCTTCCATCCCCCAGATCTGGTGTGTTCAAACGTGCTCACGGAGGGAACGTGACTTTCTTTACGTGTGTTTGTGACTGGAAAATTATGCACGTCAATGGTGTGATCAAAGCGTCTCTTTTTTTAGTAGGAGAACTAAAAATACTTGAATAGAAAAGACACAATTCCTGTGCCTTTATGACATGGAAGTGACTCAAGAGTTTTTAAAAGCTTATGATGACAAAGCATAAACAAGGACCGTTTCTGACCACCTGATCGCATCTTAAGTGCATCTCCCAAGAGAGGTGACGTCCCCATCATCCTCGGAGCACCCTAGATCAGTATGGAGAGGCCCCACAACAAGCTTCACATGGGCCACAACCCCTGTACACAGAACAGCTGTAAAGATGATCGTCCTGTGCCTTTGAACGGGCGGTGTCTTCTAAGAGCGGGCCGTTTGGAAGGGCCTGGCGTTTGGAACTGCCCGCAAGGTGGGCAGGTTTGTGGCTTGTGGCGTGTCAGCTGCAACCCCGTGAGGTGTGCCAGATACCTGCAAATTGGAGAAAGCTCGGTAGCTTGACGTAGAGCATAGCCTTGGGGGGAAAAACGAGGGCTTGGGATGACGTCCCAGAATTTACCAGCCTCTCCGTGAGAGGTGTGGGGTTTGCTTCCAAAGCGCTGGACTCCCGTGTCCCAGAAAGGCTGGCCTGGCTGGCTGCGTTCTTTGCCTGCATTCCTCACCTGAGGCAGGTGCCTCCCTTGGCCAAGCGAGAAGGCCAGTACGCAGCGCCACGAAGCGACCCACGTCCTGATGTGATGTTTTCATTGTGTAGTCAAGCTAATGCATTGTATAGCTAACAATGTATGAGCAGCTGGGTCATTTGTTTTGCTCTGAAGCTTGGGATCCTTTTCAACAGATGGAAAAAGAGAGAGCCCCCACCCCAGTGAGGTCAGGGGCTTCTTGCAGGGGGCATGGTTGATTGCTCATTAGCATCTGGATTTAACAGAATTTAGCAGAAGCCCCCATGCCTCCACCCTTCTCCCTGGCAAAGGTCAAAGGCAGAGAGTCTGCATCCGGTGATTTTTTATTTTTTGCAAAGGGCAGAGCTTTGAGTTCCACTCCAAAAGTCTGGTGCTTTTGCCCCAGAGCACATGAGATCTGCATTTAATTCCTTAGGGGTGTGGAAACGTTGCTGTTTTGGGGATGAGTATTTCCAGCATCCCATGGGCAGCATGTCCAAGGGTCTTACCCAATGGGATTTATTCTTTTTAAAGGCTGTGTTTCCCGAATTCTGAGCCTGTAAATAATAGTAAGGTAGATAATGAGAGATGGACCATAAGTAAGACTGACCGCCAGAGAATGGATGCCTTTGAATTGTGGTGCTGGAGGAGGCTCTTGAGAGTCCCCTGGACTGCAAGGAGAACAAACCTATCCGTTCTGAAGGAAATCAACCCAGAGTGCTCACTGGAAGGACAGATCCTGAAGCTGAGGCTGCAATAACTTTGGCCCTCTCATGAGAAGAGAAGACTCCCTGGAAAAGACCCAGATGTTGGGAAAGTGTGAAGGCAAGAGGAGAAGGGAATGACAGAGGACGAGATGGCTGGACAGGGTCATAGAAGCGACCAACATGAATGAGACCCAACTCCAGGAGGCAGTGGAAGACAGAAGGGCCTGAGAGAATTTCCTGGTGGATCGTGCCCTATTAGGAGCTGGGGATTTTCCACCACTGAGCTGTTCTGCCTCAGGCGCCGGAGTGTCTCTGGCCGGCCTCATTGTTGATGGTGCTCCAGGTTGAGCACGAGGCTCCGCGGTGTGCCAGGAAGGCCGAAGAGAAGTCCATGCATGCTTATAAATAGAGGCTGATCCAACAGGGGCAAGAGCATTCGTTAGTGGCATGACGGGAATGTCGCCGGCTGGAACCCGGGGAATGATCTTCCCTCGGCGGGAAAGGAAGGGGGCGTCTCAGAACAGGTCAGCTATTTCGGAGGAACTGATCAGCTCAGGCAGGGAGCGACAGAGCCCTCAGGAGGGAATGTGAGGGCGACTCAGCTTTGGGGGCAAAAAAAGACCCTCTCTTCAAAGCCTGGAAGGAGGAAGTCCCTTATTTCTTTATTTAAAGAAAGAAGGGGAAACTGTACTAAAATAATAAATAAAGGATTTTAAATGAATGGAACACATAAATATTTAAAAAAATTAAATACAGTTACTAACAACGTAATAGCCCTGTAACCATGGCTTTCAACGCATGGGTGGCTTGACTTACAAGAGTGGAAGAGAGTTAAATTCCCTGAATAGAAATGAAGCAATTTTGACGGTGGAACAAGAAATGCTTTCCATTCATGGGCAGTTTAAGGCATTTTAGAGGCATTATGTTAATATATGCCATTCTTCTATCTATCCAAAGAGGGTTCCCCCCCACCTCCTTTTAATACTTGAATGTAAAGGAAAAGGAACGATCCGCTCAGCAAGCAATGCGACCCATTACTTTCCCCAAGCATTTGAATGAGCCATGTCATGGAATTACTTTCCAAAAGGCCATCGGTTCGGTGAAAAATAAGGTTTAATGCGCTCCTTTCCCTTCTCTAGGTAAGTGGTGAACGGCATGAGGGGAAAGTGCGAGGATTCGAAGTCCTGGCGAGAGGCGCCGCCCGGGAGCCCGAGAGCTGGCACTCCGGCCCGGCTGGCGTGTGGGAAGCAGTCAGCAAGGAGAAGAGGAAAGTGGAGGAGGAGAAGAAGAAAAAGGTGAGTGAGGAAGGGGAGTGAGGACCAGGTGCCCCAAGAGGGTCGTATGTCTTCTGAATGGCCCCGTGGGGGCAGAACAGTAGGAAACCACCACCACCACCCCGTATCTGCAGGATCGGTATCTCTGGTTTCATTTCTCTGTGGTCTAAAAAATTAAAAGAAAAATCTTAGAAATAAGTCTTTCCACAATGTCGTTACCAGAACTGGCCACTAGAAAGAGCCAGAGACCATGCTATGTGCCATGTTTGCTGTTATCGTGGGTTTCGGTATCTATGGGGCGAGCCTTGGAACCGGTCCCACCCAGTGGCTTAGATTTCTGGCTGCAGAGGCAGAGGCTGCGGGTTCAGTTTCCCACGATGTCTCCTTAAGGAGGGCTGGACTTGATGGTCTTTAAGATCCCTTCCAGCTCTGCAATTCAACGGCTATTATGAAAGTCAACATTCTGTGATGAGGGAGGGGGAATAGTCTGCTTGCTTCCCCCCCCCATTAAATAGTTTCCCTACAGATCACTTGTTTTTAAACTGACAAACCTAGAATTGGAAACACAAGCACGTTAACATGCTAGCATTAAACAATTAGATCAACCCCCCAAAAAATATTGTTCAGAGTTAAAACATGGAGAAAATTTAATACATACCAATTGTAACTTTTTAAAAAACAAATATCATACAAGAATGATTAGAAAGGGCCAGCAAGCTGATTAAAGTAGCGAGAACTATGGTTATTAAAGAATAATTCCACTGACGTTTAACCATGAAATCAAGGAACTGCACAACTGTTGTTAAACATTTTAACAAATTAGGCAGCTACAGATCATTTTTAAACATAGGCCAGAATGCGGTTGATTTTTTAAAGTGCAGATGTTGCAGTAAAGAATGGAAACAAATGACTGCACAATGCTGGTCACGAGGCTGGCCATACGGTCATGCACCTGACTAGGCATGCAACCAGAACTTTCTTAATCAGTTTCAATTAGCTGCTTTAACATCTATGTTTTCCCTAATGTACACATAAGAAGCCAGAAAGGTTCTGGGCTTTATTTCCAAGTTCTTAAAAGCCGTTGACTAATTAGGATTTTCCCTGGCATAAATTAATTTCCAACTTTCTGTCTCCTTAGCTCGAGTCACTCAACAATTCCAGGCTGAAGCTAGAGAGCCTGGAGGACTTGGAGGCTATTATTAAGCTTCGGAAGAATAAGAAGAAATTGAAAAAAGTGGTCCGCCCAAAGAAGCAAGAGCCGGAAGTGATCGTGAGTATTTACCGGCCTTGCTTGAAACCAGAGTTTGGAGGAAATTATTCTGGGGGGGGTGGGTGGAACTGCAGAAGACGCGCATCTGAAGTTCTGTTGTTGGCGCTGGGACTGATTTCCTCGCCCACAACAAGGTCCCCTGGTTAAGGGGAGACTCCTTCTCCTGCCTTCTTTAGACAGAATCTGTGGGCCCAGCACAATTCCTTCAAGCCGTGCTGGAAAACCGAGTTCCTGTGATCAACAAATACCTGGAAGATGGAGGGGACCCCAACGCTCACGACAAGGTACCCGGCAAGCTTGGGTTCAAAAGAGATGTGTGTTTGCATCATGATGATGAAACAGAGAATGGGGGAAAGAAGGTCAGCTTGCGGGGACGGGGAGGAGGGAGAAATAGAAATGTCAGTATTCTAGTTAGGAAGTTAAAGATTAAGAGGGACAGAGCATGCAGGTAACTCACTACGAGTTATTTGTAATTCATTCCCCCCACCACCACCTTTTTAGTAATAAACAGAGCTTGGGGGAAAACAGTGTTTCAATTNCCCCCCCCCACCACCTTTTTAGTAATGAACAGAGCTTGGGGGGAAATAGTGTTTCAATTACAGCTCTCAGATTTCCGCTCAGCTGGCATGGCCACTCCCACCCATGAGTTCTGGAAGTTGTATTCCAAAAAAAAAAGAAGAAAAAAAAAAGAAAAAGAAAAAAAGAAAAGAAAGTTAAGTTTCCAAACTGGGTAACTGAAAAGGTGTCTCTGCCTTTGAAAACAAAATGAAGTTCCAGCTTCCTCCCTTTGCCTCCTGGTTGAGCGGGCTGTGTTCTCAGGGGAGCAGCTCCATCTGCCTGCCACAAGAAATATTGTCCAGAATCCCCCTTCACTCACCTTTTATACATGCCCAGTTTTCTAATTAAAAACATCTAGCTGATTAGTGGGCTGATTATACCCACATAAATTTGCATCTGCTCAAAACCGTTTAAATCATGCTTCGCTTTTGATCCGTCAGGTCCTGCATGCGCTCTCTGCTTCGCAATTTCCCCATCGGAAAAAGCCGTTACTGTTCTTGCTCGCAGAACTGAGATGTCATGGATGTTAACGGTTCACCCAGTTTTTTTAAAAAAAAATCTTTTTGCAAAAGGGTGGTATTAAAAAACAACAACCTGCAGGTTTTTTTGGGGAGACTGGCGAGGATGAAACAGGAGCGCTCCCTGAGTGGGGAGGAGGCGACTGACGTGCCTCCGGGAAGAGAAGGACAGGATTGTAGGGGCAGGTTGGCACAGAACCACCGGTACCCCTAAACCAACCCCCCCTGTGTCCCCCCCCCGGTTGCAGTTCAGATGTACAGCCCTGCACCGGGCCTGTTTACGTGGCCATGCAGAGACGGTGGACAAGCTGCTGGAAGCCGGGGCCAAACTGGAAAAGAGAGATATGGTGAGTCTTCTCCAGCGACAGCCTTCCTGTCCCCCAATGCCGGCTCAAAAGGATTCTGCCCATCTTCACAGCATGAGCGGTCCTTTCCCTTCCTGGGTCTCTCCCAGGATGATGACTTACCTTGGTTGGAATTATCTCAGCCTTGTGCCGTTGCCTTTTCTTGGAATGGGGTGACTGACCCTCCGTCAGTCCAGCAGTTGACCAATTGTTCATTTCCTGCTAGAGCCATGCCTCGTTCCCCCACCTCCTTTTTCAGCCAGTCATGTGGTCGTCTGCTGGCCATTAGCCATTTATACAGTTAGAAAGCCGTCTGCTGGAAGCAGGCTATATATATCTGCTAAGGCCTGTTTGGGTAACTGGTCGATTTTGTACAGTATGCTTTTTTTAAAAAAAAAAATCTGTGCAGAACTGTAAATGGAACCCTTTGTTCTTTCCCTTATCGATGTCTCACAGTGAGAACTGTAAATGGAACCCTTTGTTCTTTCTCTTATTGATGTCTCAGAGTGTGTTATTGAGACTGTAAGTGCCAGTGGATGAGAACCTTAAGGGGCGGTCTACTCAGGGGAGACTTAAAGCTAATTTTGCTCTGTAGGTCCCTGTGCTTTGTGCCATGTTTTCCAGGCAGAATTCAACACTCTGCCAAGGCTACTAAGGGTAGAGAACCGTGTTTAGCTTGAGAGTAACACTCAAAGTCAGAGATGTTCTCGGGGCCCACAGTCCAGGCAAAAGGATGGGAACCTGTTTTATTTTAGCTTAAAGCCCCTCCTCCTGGTAATTTAAGCCTTAGGGAAAGCATGCTGGCTTCTCGATATGGGAGAATCTCTGCAAAAGTCTGCAGTCCAGCCCCGAAGGCGTCACGGGGCGGTGGCTATTTGAGGGACCTCAGGAAAACCAGTTTGGCCCTCAGGAAGGGATGGTTGAAGCCCCCGAGACTGGGGTTTTCCCCTCCCCTGCCCTGTGTAACGGCCCTGTTCTGCTTGGACACAGCTGGAGGCCACCCCCTTGTTCTGGGCCTGCCGCAGGGGACACCTCGAGATCCTCAAGCGCCTGATCAGCCGGGGAGCCAAGATCTCTACTCGGGACAAGGTGAGCCCCACGGCCCGGCACCCACTTCCATCTGTATGAAAAAGGAGTTCTTCTTTCACGAATGCCGTTCCCCAGCCGGCTCTGGGCTGAGCTGGTGGTGGGGTTCGGCACTCCCACCCCCAGAATCCTGCAGCCATTCCAGCCACTGAGTCGGGGGGGCTTCTCTTTGTCTGGCAGCTGTGGAGCACCCCGTTGCATGTGGCCGTCCGGACGGGCCACTCCGACTGCGCAGAGCACCTCATTGCCTGCGGGGCCAGCATCAACGCTCAAGACAAGGTATGAGGAACGTGGGCCTGTCTGGAGGAGCGCGTGTGGATGTGAACGCGCAATCTCAGGGTTCTGTGGGAGTGAGCAGGGAGGGAAGTAACTGAGAAAAGAGGGACTGTGGACCTGCGCAGCCTCTGGCTTGCGCTGAGCAATGTTCCTCTCCAGAACCCACCTCCCAACCTCTTTGTGCCAGCCTAGCTACCCGAGTGTTCTTGGGTTTGTGGTTCCCCCCAAAAGATGGGCTTCCAGCAAAGCCAGTTTGACAAAATAAGGACAAATTTAATAGCTGTTTACTTAACAGATGCTGGCCAGCTGCAAAAATCAGGGTGTGGGTTTTTAAGTTTCGTTCTCTGGAGAGCATGTAAGCACAGTACGGTGGTGGTCTTTCCAGGACTCGGTATTTATTGGTACATTGCTGAATTACCCAGAGGGGTTTGCTCGGGGTCTTGAGCAGAGAGAGGCTCCTTCTCCCCTGGGTGCAAGGAATGAACCCGGAAAAGTTACCTTTGGGACCACAACTCCCAAAATCCCCAGCCAGCATGGCCGATGCCCATGGGATTTGTAGGCCCAGGGGAGACCACAGACACATTCACTGTCTCCTTTCCTCCCACACTCCTGGCCAGGAAGGAGACACCCCGCTTCATGACGCAGTCCGGCTAGGGCGCTTCAAGGCGGTGAAGACGCTGCTGATGTACGGCGCCAGCCTTGGCGTCCAGAACGAGGTGAGGAAGGGCCATTTCTTTGCTACCTTTTTTAGGCTAAGCGACAAGCCAGGGGGTTCTGCTCGCCTGTAGGCAACACAGCGCTCCAGTATGGGGCATGGAGTGGGTTTGTAGCCTTGTTCTTAGCGTCTCTGTCCCCATGGAGCACACAAATAGGCGCGATGTGGGGCTTTGAGCCGCACAGGTTAGCTCAAGTCTTTGGGGTGTCCAAATTGGGGGGGGCACAGCAGGAAGGCTCTTTCAGGAAGGGGAGGGAAGAAACGTTGTGAATAGGAAACCAGCCCACCAAGGTATGGGGGACGCCAAACTCTCCCCCCCCCCACCTCCGTCTCGCAGCTTCATATACAGGGAGAAAAACAGAGAGAGACAGAGAGGGAGAGAAAACACTCGACCACCAGCATAGCTCAGCAGCTACTTTAGGACCTCAAGGAGAACAGAGAGGCTGACACCCAAGGAAGATCACCGTTCAGAGTGGGTTGGACTCTGGGTAGGGGGAGAGGGGCTCAAGGACCCCGTGAGGGAGAAAGAAGCCCTAAAACGGCTGGGAGGAGTTGCATTTTTGGACCACTACTTGCAGGATGCCCCAGCTAGCAAAGCACAAGCAAGCAAGCAGGGAGGGAGGGAGGAAGGTCCCAGCTCTGCAAAAAGGGCGGCTTCTAACACCTTCTGTTCCCTGCTGCTTCTCTGGAATCCCTGCCATGGCCAAGGGATAGAATACGTGGTTTACAGCCCTCTCCCCATCTTCTGAACACCCAGGCTTTGCAGCCCAGCTGGAAAGGGGGGAAAGAGAGAGGGGGGGACATGGGATTGAACGGCGGCAGGGAAGCCCCTTCCTTCTAGCCTTCCAGAGGGAAAGCCTGGCAAAGTTAGTAACCTGGGTGATTGTTTCTTTCGACAGGCAGGAGTGACTCCGGTCGACCTGGTCAAGGACTGGCAGACGGGCATCCGGGAGACGCTGCAGGCCTGCGCTGACCGACAGCGAGCCTCCGCCAAGAACTGATGGACGGGGGGAGGGCTGTCTTCAGGCGGCAGGGGGCCAGCTCCCCAAGCGGGGGCGCTCCTGCCTGCTCCCTCCTCTGTCCTGTGACCAATCTCTGTCCCTTTCTTGAACCAGGCAAGGGGCACTTTGGCCCGGCTGTGGCGGCTCCGATGCCAGGGGGCTTGAGGGTCCCTCTGGGCATCCCCGGGCGGAGTCCCTTGGGGACTTCCTTCGTGCCTCTGAGGTCTTCGAGGGAGTCTTCTGGGCATCCGGGAACCAGCCGGGAGAGCAGTGCTGGGCAACCCAACCCCCCCCCGAGCCCGTCCTGGCGCCCGCCTGCTGGGTCCCACAGGGCCCACACCTCCCACTTTTTGGCCAGGTTGGCAAGAGGAGAGACCAAAAAGACCCCGGCGGGTCCTTGCATCCTCCCTCTGGCTTGCCTTCTCTGGCCCCAAGGTAGCCGCGTGGAGGAGGAGAAGAGAGGCTTCGCGGGCCCACTGGAGCCAAAGTGGAGGGCAGGTGGGAGCGCCGTCGGGAAGGGAATGGCCGCCGATTCTGGGAGTTCCCGAAGCAATGGTGGAAGAAACTGGCAGCGATGGGCATGAAGGCTTCGTAGCCCTGCCCGTTCTGTTCCCAGGTGGGCTCGGCAGGCTTTCAGAGGGACGGACGGGTTGGGGTGGCTGGCCCCACGGAGCCCCTTTGAGCCAGCGCTTCGGCTTCACAGGGGTGCCTGCCGCTCCCCCCCCGACCCTCTGCTCAGCCACCTCCCAGACCCCTTTAAATGCAAGTGCATTGAGGTCCAGCCCTCTGGCTCCCCTGCTAGATGTGGGCCGAGATCCTGGGGTCATGGATAGTGTGAGCTGAAGCCCCCCCCCCCAGGCCTTTCTCAAGAGGGCAGGCCCCCTGCGTCCTCACGCTAGACCCCTCCGGTCCTTGTCCTAAAGCCAAAGAGGCGCACGGCTGCCCTTGAACGGTGACCCTGCAGACATGCATTGAGGTCCAGCCCTCTGGCTCCCCTGCTAGATGTGGGCCGAGATCCTGGGGTCATGGATAGTGTGAGCTGAAGCCCCCCCCCCCAGGCCTTTCTCAAGAGGGCAGGCCCCCTGCGTCCTCACGCTAGACCCCTCCGGTCCTTGTCCTAAAGCCAAAGAGGCGCACGGCTGCCCTTGAACGGTGACCCTGCAGACACCCCCCCATGGCCTTTCTCAAGAGGGCAGGACCCCTGCGCCCTCGCTCTAGACCCCTCCGGTCCTTGTCCTCAAGCCAAAGAGGTGCACGGCTGCCCTTGAATGGTGACCCTGCAGACCCCCCCCATCATTCATGTCTCGGGCTTGAATGTCTCGCACCAGGGACCCCCCCCCTTCCTCTTTGCCATTCCTGGCCACCGCCGGGTCCCAGGCGTCCCTCTGGGCACAACGACCCCCTTCATTCCTTGTGTGCTGACCTCAGCGCTGCAGGTCAGGCTGAGCACCTCAACAGGCACACGATTCTCAAAGATTGATTCCTTTGTATGCCAACCAGGCCCCGAGGTCACTGGCGGCACCAAGGCGGCATGGCTGCCGGTGGGCCAGGCGGCCTTTTTTTTTTTGTTGGCACCAACTCATGACCGAATGTTTTCTGCTTCTGGAGCGCGTGAAGCAGCTCCTGAATTCTTAGCGATTACTTTCCTCGTGGACCGGGTTCCGCGCAACTTAACTGTACATGACTATTATTTGTGACCGATCAAGGCGAACAACTGTGAAGGTGCCCCAGAGCCAGGCCGGCCGGCTCTTACTGACCATGCCAGAGGATGGTAGCCTTGACTTCCCCACCTGGCACGTGGTTGAGACTGGACTCTGGGGAATGAACTTTTCCAAGGCACCCGCCCCTCTCTCTCCCAGCCTGGGCTGGAAGGAATTCCTTGAGCTGGTCTTTGCAAAGCAAGACTGGCTCTCACCTCTTTCGAGTCGATCTTGAATCTAAACGCACCACGAGAAACGTTCTAGTCGCTGTTCTGTACGTTACAGACAAAAGCTGAAGCCACGCTGGGGAACCAGCGCTCTACCGGATGGGTACCTGACTCTCTGAACATCCATTCAACAGGGTTGGATGAGATTTCTTCTATGGTTGTTTGATCTGGGAGGCGTTCTCCTAACTTTGCCACATTATCTGGTCTCGCTCTTGTGGGCAACAATCCTCCTTTTCTTATTGGGTGGCGGGTGGACTTCAAAATGACCCTTTTTGTCCTTTGCAAAGTGGGATCGATTGTGGATTGCAAAAAAAAAAGTCTTGTTACGAAAGGCTCGTTTTGGCAGAGCTGGGCTGATGTGATGCGCTTCCTCTTTAGTCTGTAATAAAACTGTTTCAAGCTTCGTTTTGGATATCAAAAGCTTTCGGAGATCGTTTGTGCTTGACCAGAGAGGAGCATCTCTTCCTCCTCAGCCCTTCCAATGGCTGAGCCCAAACAATGAGCTCAGAACCACGGAGGAAACAGAGGCTCCCTAATGATTTCATTCTTGACCAAAAAAAAAGGCTCGGTCAATGCTACTTTTTTCTATTCTGCTCGATAGCAGAAAGATCACCCCTCTTTTGTAGAGTTAGCAGCATTAGCAGAAAAGGGGGGATTGCATAGAACATCACATTTTGTGTAAAATACGACACAAAATACCTAGTTATCTGCACAGCAAAATGTGCACGTTTGTACAAAAAAAGATGCCAAAATGTAGGAAAGGTATGAAAACCATGGGGGAAGAGGGCTTGACATGTTTCATTCTCAATTCTGGAAATTAGTAAACATTTACAGCCCTAGGTTGGATGCACATTTTGATGAGACGCGGTCCTCATCTGTCGGAAAAGAAAAAAAATAGGAAAGCATGGGAGCAGGCAACTGTCTGGCCTCCTGTATGAAAAGTTCCCTGCAAATAAAAAGCTAGCCTGTTGGGAGAAGCCTCTTTCCCCAACTTTCTACTTGAGGGGAGCGGGGAAGAACTATGGAACAAAGGACATGACGTCTTTTTCCCCATCCATAGCCCGAAGGGGTTCCCCCAGTTCAGAACCATCAGCCCACCTTCTGCCAGTCCCGGATTATCCCAGTCTCATTATGACACAGGGATAAAAACCCATTTTCCTCCATCCAAGGTATTTGCTGGTGGCTTTCCCAGCAAGTCGGCTGATCCGGGTGAACCGACCGAGGAGGGAAGGCACCAGGTGACAAGCGGACAGCAACTGGTCAGCACCGAAACTGGACAGGACGGGCCTGTTTCTTGAGAGGCTTTTCCTTCAAAAGAGTGGCAGGCGGAGAAGGCCTGATCCAAAAGGCAGACGCAGGACAGAAAGCATAGGAGAGAGAGAGAGAAACAGGGGAGCGGGGTGCTGGTTTAACTCGGGCAGGGTTGCAACCTCAAAGATGGTCTTGCAACCTCTGATTCTCACCTAAGCCACGCTGGGCAATGGCGCCCGTCAGTCTCACATTGGGCTGCCAGCTACGTACATGCCTGCGCACCTGCAAGTCAGGCCTTATAGTGGGGGGGGGGTTTTCAGAAACTAAGCGGCCCTGTGCACTCCAAGAGGCCGTTTTTCTGGCCCCCAGAAGGCAAAGATCACTCCTCAGCTGAACGGGGGGAACCTGTGCTTCCAAGCCACCCAATCCTTGGCTAAAACAAGACCTGGCCCCCTCCATTTGTCTTTGCAAAAATCTGCGGGGTTTTCCCCTAACACTGGCAAGGGTCCCCACCCCCACCTGAAGAGGGCATGTTGTTGTTTTTCCTCCGTGGGGTAGCGTCATCGCCTGGGCTGCCGGAGGACTTGAGACCTAGAAAAACGGAGCATCCCCAACCCGGTCTTGGCACAAAACGATGGCAAGGGTTAATGAGTTAAAACCCACCCATCCAAGGAGTTGCCCCATTACAGAAAGGGAGGGGATCCGGGCAGGCGAGAGGGCCCGCATCACAAGCGAGGGCCGTGCTGACGCGGAATGCGTGGGTGTTGCTGGGGAAAAAAGGGCTAGCAAAAGCGGTCTGTGGCTCAAGAGGCAGGGAGGAAAGAGAGGACCATTCTAACCCCCTTCCCTGAGGCACCTCGCTGTCCCATCCATGCTGCATTGGAGAGAAGAGAAGGCAAAAGTTCGCCTTGGGTCTGTGGACCCACCATCCCTTGCAAAGCAGTATCTTACAAGCGGAGGCACACGCTTTGGCTAATCCATTTGCAGGTGCGGTCCTTGCAGGAAGGTGACAACAGAAGAGAGTGAGAGAGGCAGGTTGCAAATAATTTACCTGAATGGATACATTGCTTTCAGACAATTTCTGCCATTGGTTGGAAAACAGGAGGGGAAAAAAGGAAAAGAGAGAGAGAGAAGGAAGTTGATTCCCTTTCTCCCTTTGCTCCTGGGTCTTTTATTTTCTTTAAAAAATAAAAAAAAATTGGAAACAAAATACTGTTAGTAGCAACTAGGAAGAAAAAAAAGTCAAGTCTCTCTGCCAACGCTGGAGTGGAGGACGACCTTTTCGGAAAGGCTGAGAGGAATCTCTCCTACGAACCACTCAGGCCTCGTTCTGAGGATGGAAAGTGGCCGACAGCACACGCCACGTGGGAGCGGGCCACTGCTGGTCTTCTACACACGAGGGCCAGAAGCCACCGAGGGCAAGGCGGTCCGTCTGGGACTCTCCCGGGGGGCCTTCGCAGGCCAATGGCCGAAAAGACTGCAGGTCCTTTCTGTCGTTGGCGAGAGAGGACGAGAGGCACACCTGGAACATGGAGGTGGTGCTCGGGAGAGGCTGGGACGAAGGGCGCACGTTCCTTCCTCGGAGCCCCAAAGAGGTTGACAGGAGAAGTCAGGGGAGTGGTTTAAACACCAGGGTTTGGGTGGAGGCCACTGCAGGGGAGAGACGACCACCCGCCCGTGAGCCTTGCTTTGTCGCCTGGCGTGCAAACAGTGCTTTTCAAGCCAGCCCGGGATCGAAGGGTCAAAAGAAAATAACCTAAGCAGGAACAGGGGTAGGGGAGACAGGCCGTCCTCAGGGGGGACGGAGGGCGAGAGGAAAGGCGGACCAGGGTTCCTTTCCAGAAAGACGGCATTTTCTGGGTGGGCAGCAAAGCCACCAATAGGCTGGATCTCCAGACGAAGAAGGACCTTGCTTGGCTCCAGGGAGCAGAGATTTTTGGCACCGTTTCAGGAGAAAAAAAATCTCGGACGGGAGGGCGCCAGGTAGGGCCTGCGGACATGGCACGCTGAGACGGATCTGACCACCCGCCCAGGATGGTTTCCTTGAGGGAGTGGCCTGCCAAGGGCCCCAGAAAGCAGGAGGGGCAGATCCTGCACTCCAGAGCTGCGTGGATGGTGGATCTAGCTTTCTTCCCACGGCCCCTGGGCTGCCCAACCGGCCTCTTGGGACTCTGAGTGCCCACCAGACGTGGCCACTGCCCAGGTGAAGTCAGTGTGTGTCGGGGGGGGAGGTAAGGAAGGGGCGACGCAAGGCAGGGGGTGAGTTGCCGTGTGGGCAAAGAGATCAACACTGTCAAAGCAAGAGAGGCCATTGTTGTGCACGTTCGCCATTCTCCGTTCGCACCAGCTACTATCAACGCAACCGAGTCCGCTTTCGTGGGGCAGCTCTTCTTGGCTGCTCAATCACCCGCCTCGGTCAAATGCTGTTGAAAGAGTGTCCCGGCTGGTGCCGCCGGGTCGAAGCCCCAGGAGCCGAGGGGCCAAGCCATCTGGTGGATCGAGACACGGGGGTCTCTCTGGCGTGCCAAACGAATGGTCCATCGCAAAGGTGGATGGGAGGCAGGAGGGGAGAGGTGCCCCCGAAGCCTCCAGCCCCACCCGTCTCCTCCAGCAGTCAGACCCCCGAACTCCGACGCTCCTCTTCTAGTAGGTTGAGTTTGCTTCCGCTTTTCCCTGGAGCAGCAGCAAGAGAGAGAAGGCAACGGTTAAGCTCTGCTCCCTGGGTTCGCTTGGTTCTCAGGCTGCAAAAATCTGAGCCAGGAGCAGGGGCGGTTCATTCCCAACCACTGAGGGGGGCGGGTCTTTGGTAAAGTGAATGACTCCTAATTGTCCATCTGAGAGGACAGGGCACCCACCACGGGAATACCAGCACAAACAAGAGCACGACTTGGCTACTCAGTTCGGAAGGAACAAGGAAGCCTGCATGTCATGGATAATGTCACCATCCCCCACTCACCAGGAAGTCCCAATGCTTTCACCCTGTGAACCCTGGCTCCCCTATACTGCTAACGGGGAGTTCTGGGATGCTGGATGTTCTGATGGACAAAGCATTTTGCCATTTTCTGTCTCACTGCCCCCCTTGCTGTCAACACGGGAAATAAATGTCTTATCACGGTTGCAACTCCCACGGCTATTACCTTTTCTAGCAGAAGCCCTGTTTTTTACATCCCATCTTCAGCGAACTGAAAGCAGGAGACACCAGCTCTCCCGGGCACTCATAAAAAACCCTTTGAGGGAGGGAGCAGAGGCTGAGGGAGCAGAGACCTGCCTGCTTAGTGAATTTCCTGACTGGGACTGGAACTCGGCTCTCCCATGCCCCAGCCCTAATGCTCTGAGCAAACCAGAGTTGGGGGAAATGTTTGGGCCTCCGGGAGTTTTAAGACTTCTATCATCTCTCACCTGCAAGTGGAAAAGGAGCCTCAGAGAGCTTGTTCTCCTGACAGGCTAGCTTTCCACTTGCAGTGAATAAACAAACAAACAAGACTGCTCTGCTCCCTATGGGGTTCTGTGCGAGGAATAAGCCTCTCCCGGGGGGTCGCCAGAGGGCTATGAAGGGTGGGGAGAAAAACAGGGCCGGGTATATTTACCTTGCACTTAAAAAAAACAAAGAGGCACTCCAGACTATGGCAGAGAGGCCTGTATTAAATGCAGTTCTCAATGGTGGCAAAGAAAGAGAGGTTGAGCGGAAAGGCTGGAGGGAGAAAAAAGAAAGAAAGAGAAAAGAGGAAGGAGAAAAGGCATTTTAGCTCCAGGCAAGAAAGAGAGCGCAGCGACAGAGGACACGCGAACAAGCAAAAGATATTCTGCTCTGGCAGGGGAGGGAAGCCTCCCCC